ATTTTAAAGCATTAAAATTGCCATTTGTTTTGGTATATAATTTATTGCATAATGTATTTTTAGAAAATGGCCAATTGGATAGATCGGTAGAATTATTTTCCCAGGTTTAAAAACGCGGTAATTTGAGGTTCCGATATGGTTGTGAATAACTTTGACAGTTTTCATGCTATGACAGTCATTTATGCATCATTTTAAAGCATTACAGTTGCACTTTGTTTTTGTGTATAATTTGTGGCATAATGAATTTTTACAAAAATTGGATAGATCGGTATATTTATTGGTACAGGTTTAAAAATGCGGTAATTTAGGGCCCCGATATGGTTGCAAATAACTTTTATAGTTTTCATGTTATAACAGTCGTTTATACATCTTTTTATTGCATTTAAGTTGCCATTTGTTTTGGTATATAATATATTGCATAATGTATTTTTAGAAGATGGCCAATTGGATAGATCGATAGAATTATTTTCCCAGGTTTAAAAAGGCGGTAATTTGAGGTTCCGATATGGTTGTGAATTACTTTGACAGTTTTCATGCTATGACAGTCATTTATGCATCAGTTTAGAGCATTATGATTGCACTTTAATTTGGTATATCATTTGTGGCATAATGTGTTCGTCTAAAAAATGGTCAATTTGATGGATCGGTAGAATTATTGTTCTATGTTTAATAACGCGGTAATTTGAGGTTCCGATATGGTTGCAAATAACTTTGACAGTTTTCATGCTAGGGCATTAGTTTACGCATCATTTTAAAGCATTACAGTTGCACTTTATTTTGGTGTATAATTTGTGGCATAATGAATTTTTACAAAAATTGGATAGATCGGTATATTTATTGGTACAGGTTCAAAAATGCGGTAATTTAAGGCTCCGATATGGTTGCAAATAACTTTTATAGTTTTCATGTTATAACAGTCGTTTATATATCTTTTTATTGCATTATAGTTGCCATTTGCTTTGGTATATAATTTATTCCATAATATATTTTTGGAAAATGGCCAATTGGATAGATCGGTAGAATTATTTTCACAGCTTTAAAAACGCGGTAGTTTGAAGTTCCGATATGGCTGCAAATAACATTGACAGTTTTCACGCTATGACAGTCATTTATGCATTATTTTAAAGCATTATGATTGCACTTTAATATGGTATATAATTTGTAGCATAATGTGTGTTTTTACAAATTGGTCAATTTGATAGATCGGTAGAATTATTGTTCTATGTTTAATAAACGCGGTAATCTGAGGTGATGGATCAGTAGAATTATTGTTCTATGTTTAAAAACGCGGTAATTTGAGGTTCCGATATGGTTGCAAATAACTTTGACAGTTTCCATGCTAGGGCAATAGTTTATGCATCATTTTAAAGCATTATAGTTGCACTTTATTTTGGTGTATAATTTGTGGCATAATGAATTTTTAAAAAATTTGGATAGATCGGTATATTTATTGGTACAGGTTGAGGTTCCGATATGGTTGCAAATAACATTGACAGTTTTCATGCTATGACAGTCATTTATGCGACATTTTAATATGGTGTATCATTTGTAGCATAATATGGTATATCATTTGTAGCATAATGTGTGTTTTTACAAATTGGTCAATTTGATAGATCGGTAGAATTATTGTTCTATGTTTAATAAACGCGGTAATCTGAGGTTCCGATATGGCTGCACTTAACTTTGGCAGTTTTCGTGCTAGGACAGTCATTTATGCACCATTTTAAAGCATTAAAATTGCCATTTGTTTTGGTATATAATTTATTGCATAATAAATTTTTAGAAAATGGCCAATTGGATAGATCGGTAGAATTATTTTCACAGCTTTAAAAACGCGGTAATTTGAGGTTCCGATATGGCTGCAAATAACATTGACAGTTTTCACGCTATGACAGTCATTTATGCATCATTTTAAAGCATTATGATTGCACTTTAATATGGTATATCATTTGTAGAATAATGTGTATTTTTACAAATTGGTCAATTTAATAGATCGGTAGAATTATTGTTCTATGTTTAATAAACGCAGTAATCTGAGGTTCCGATATGGTTGCAATTAACTTTGGCAGTTTTCGTGCTAGGACAGTCGTTTATGCACCATTTTAAAGCATTAAAATTGCCATTTGTTTTGGTATATAATTTATTGCATAATGTATTTTTAGAAAATGGCCAATTGCATAGATCGGTAGAATTATTTTCCCAGGTTTAAAAAGGCGGTAATTTGAGGTTCCGATATGGTTGTGAATAACTTTGACAGTTTTCATGCTATGACAGTCATTTATGCATCAGTTTAGAGCATTATGATTGCACTTTAATTTGGTATATCATTTGTGGCATAATGTGTTCGTCTAAAAAATGGTCAATTTGATGGATCGGTAGAATTATTGTTCTATGTTTAAAAACGCTGTAATTTGAGGTTCCTGTCAAATAACTTTGACAGTTTTCATGCTAGGGCAATAGCTTATGCATCATTTTAAAGCATTACAGTTGCACTTTATTTTGGTGTATAATTTGTGGCATAATGAATTTTTACAAAAATTGGATAGATCGGTATATTTATTGGTACATGTTTAGAAATGCGGTAATTTAAGGCTCCGATATGGTTGCAAATATCTATTATAGTTTTCATGTTATAGCAGTCGTTTATATATCTTTTTATTGCATTATAGTTGCCATTTGTTTTGGTATATAATTTATTGCATAATATATTTTTAGAAAATGGCCAATTGGATAGATCGGTAGAATTATTTTCACAGCTTTAAAAACGCGGGTAATTTGAGGTTCATATATGGCTGCAAATAACATAGACAGTTTTCATGCTATGACAATCATTTATGCATCAGTTTAATGCATTATGATTGCACTTTAATATGGTATATAATTTGTTGCATAATGTGTGTTTTTACAAATTGGTCAATTTGATAGATCGGTAGAATTATTGTTCTATGTTTAATAAACGCAGTAATCTGAGGTTCCGATATGGTTGCAATTAACTTTGGCAGTTTTCGTGCCAGAACAGTCGTTTATGCACCATTTTAAAGCACTAAAATTGCCATTTGTTTTGGTATATAATTTATTGCATAATGTATTTTTAGAAAATGGCCAATTGGATAGATCGGTAGAATTATTTTCCCAGGTTTAAAAAGGCGGTAATTTGAGGTTCTGATATGGTTGTGAATAACTTTGACAGTTTTTCATGCTATGACAGTCATTTATGCATCATTTTAAAGCATTATGATTGCACTTTAATTTGGTATATCATTTGTGGCATAATGTGCTCGTCTAAAAAATGGTCAATTTGAAGGATCGGTAGAATCATTGTTCTATGTTTAAAAAACGCGGTAATTTGTGGTTCCGATATGGTTGCAAATAACTTTGACAGTTTTCATGCTAGGGCAATAGTTTATGCATCATTTTAAAGCATTACAGTTGCACTTTATTTTGGTGTATAACTTGTGGCATAATGAATTTTTACAAAAGTTGGATAGATCGGTATATTTATTGGTACAGGTTTAAAAATGCGGTAATTCAAGGCTCCGATATGGTTGCAAATAACTTTTATAATTTTCATGTTATAACAGTCGTTTATATATATTTTTATTGCATTATAGTTGCCATTTGTTTTGGTATATAATTTATTGCATAACATATTTTTAGAAAATTGCCAATTGGATAGATCGGTAGAATTATTTTCACAGCTTTAAAAAGGCGGTAATTTGGAGTTCCGATATGGTTGCAAATAACATTGACAGTTTTCATGCTATGACAGTCATTTATGCATCATTGACGTTCTAATACTGACCAATATATTTTTTCTATCACAAAAACTAAAAAAGTTAGCACAAAAAGTTCAGACACTGAAATATTTTCACAGCCCTTTGAAAAAAAATTAATCATGTCTGCATCCCATCATATGTAAAGTTAATGTTTCAAATTTTCAGGGATGATAGATAATCGATAAACGAAAACATAATTTGATAATGCGATAAAATCGATTACTCAGTTTTCAAGTTATTCGCTATTGGCAGATGTGCCCCTATGGCGTATGATCCCCCTTCTACCCTATGCATCATTTTAAAGTATTATGATTGCACTTTAATTTGGTATATCATTTGCGGCATAATGTGTTCGTCTAAAAAATGGTCAATTTGAAGGATCGGTAGAATTATTGTTCTATGTTTAAAAACGCGGTAATTTGAGGTTCCGATATGGTAGCAAATAACTTTGACAGTTTTCATGCTATGACAGTCATTTATGCATCATTTTAAAGCATTACAGTTGCACTTTGTTTTGGTGTATAATTTGTGGCATAATGAATTTTTACAAAAATTGGATAGATCGATATATTTATTGGTACAGGTTTAAAAATGCGGTAATTCAAGGTAATTCATGTTATGTCCAATCATGGACACTATTTTATTATTATTATTATTTTTATTATTATTATTATTATTATTATTATTATTATTATTATTATTTTGTTTATTATTAAATAAATTGTATATTGAATTGGATTTTTTGAATTGTTATTACTTTACGGTTATTTGCATTTTAAGATAAATTGAATTATAATGAATGAACTGTATTATCTTAACACTGTAAAGTAATCTTGTAATTAGTAATTAGTATTCGGTACAATGGAATTGTCATTTGTTCTAAATATTCGCTGAATAGCCATTTATGTTCTAAACCTAAGCTTCACGTTTCTTGTAATTAAAATAAATCGGTCACTTGTAAATCAACAATCGTTGAGTAAAGTTGAACTTTCTCTCTAGTAAACCCCCGCTCAGTGCTGTGAATAAAATATAAAATAAAAATACAAAAAAACCAAATCCATTTATTTACTTCCTAGCCCGGCAGAACAAAAGGTGAGTTTCCTCATTCCCCAAAAACCCTTACTCTCTTATAGAATTGAAAGAAATATTATCTTTTATTAATCCCCGCTTAATTTCTTTCTTTTCCTTTTCCCCCGCAACCGCAAATAATTATAATAACTCGGACGAGAGTTATTATAATTATCAGAAAGACTTCTTTTAGATTGCTCCACTAGTTTCCCCCCGCTCTACCAATCTAGAAGAAGTTGCTCTAGTTCATTTCATGGTCCAATCGAGCCTCTCATTTATAGAAGGAACCTGCAAAAAATCCCTACAAGAAATTATACAAAAATGAGGTAAATTGCCACTCATCAATTATAAAGCCGGACAAAAAGTAAATAGAAAATTAACTTTTTTTACACAATTCCCACTCACGCACACACATACATACACTCATCAAAAAATCACATAAAAAAACATCATATATCTCTCTTTATTAAAGTTCAAGAAAAAAGAATATTTAAAATTCAAAAAATAACCCCTAAAAATCATCTCGCTCATAAAAAGTATTAAAACAAAATATAGTGACAAATAGTGACAAAAGTGACAAAAAAACACAAAAGAAAAAAACATACAACAAATATAAAAGTGCCAAAATTGTAACAAAAAATCCCTATAAAAAAAATTATTATATTTATGTATATATGTAAATGTGTTACAAGTAAATAATTATCAAAGTGAAAAATTAGGAAAGTGCAAAAATTATTTCTTAAACAGTTAATGCTACATATAAATTAAAAAGCGTGTATATAAAATATATAAAAAGTGAATAATTCGTGTCGCCATATAAAAAATTACGGTTCCCTATATATTTAAAATTTAAAAAAAAAAACAAGCGCAAATTTTTACATAAAGAATAGCGGTTCCCTATATACGTATTTAAAATTGAAAAAAAGCGCATTTTACATAAGTGTATAAAAAAATAGCGGTGCCCTATATACTAAAAAAGCGCAATTTTGTTATATAAAAATTTGTGTCGCCATATTTATTTGAAATAAATAAAAATTTGCGGTTTTTCTTATATACCAAAAAAAAAAAGTTTAACAAATAACGTCATATTGAGAAAAAAAATGTGACACCATTTTTTTTTTTAATAAATAAAATAGGTGCTTTCTTTCAATTTTTTTAAATAAAAATTAATTTTTAAACAAAATTTTAAGTGCACATAATTACCGAAAAAAAATTTTCCCCTACCCAATACATGTTTGCATATATACATATTACTAATCCATACCTATTACAAATCTCATGTAATTATTCCGTTAAATTGTTTGTGTAAAATATTTGTCCAAAAGAAATAAACACACGAGAATAAAGCAAAATTGAAAATATATTTGTTGTATGGTTTTTTATGCAAGTGTTTCTCACATGAAGGAAAATACATAAATTAAAACGAAAATATTACACCCAAAGAAAAATTAAGTGTGCTCCTAATAATTAAAAGAAAATATTACGAAGAAAGAAAAAATATTAAAGTGCAATAATAAAATAAATTTATTTTTCTGCTTAAATAAAAGTAATTTATTTTCTCAAATAAATTACTTTATTTACTCAAGTGATACTTAAAGAAAAATTCAATCACAATGAAATTTTTATTAATATTAAAAATTGTGATAACTTGTGCTGATATTTTTCTCGAGTGTAAAAATAAATAAGAATACTTTGTGTTGTTCTCATCATTTAAATAATTTTGTTGTTGCTTAAACTGAAATAAAATTACATACAGTCCATTGCAAAGAATTATAAGCAACAACAACTTAAATAAAGAACATTAAAAATAAAAACAATATTAACAACACAAAGTTATTATTTAATTAACAATTTCACTACTCGCTAAAAAACAAAACTTAAAATAAAAAATAATAAATTTAAATAAATTTTTTTCCAAAATTATTAAAAAGCAGAAAAATAAATTTGTTATTATTTTAAATTCATTAAATTATCCCAAAATATTTTACTAAATCAAAATAATTACTCAACTCAAAAATATTAAATAAAAAGTGCAAGTAAAAGTGTATTCGAAAAAAAAAATCGCTTAATAGTGGTCGTGTTGTCATCACTTATATTTTTTTCATATATTCTCGCTAGGGTTCTATAAATCGACTTTCGAATAATCGAACAATCGACTTTTTGTCGAAAAAAGTCGAAAAGTCGAAGTCGACTATTTTGTTCCAAAAAAGTCGATAACTCGACTATCGTCTATGAAAAAAGTCGAAAAGTCGACTTTGTAAATAAAAGTCGAAAAGTCGGAAAGTCGAAAAAAGTCGAAAAGTCGATAAGTCGAAAAAAGTCGAAGAAAGTCGAAAAAAGTCGAAAAGTCGAAAAAAGTCGAAAAGTCGGAAAAAGTCGAAAAGTCGAAAAAAGTCGAAAATAGTCGAAAATTTTAAAAAGTGAAAAAGAGGTCAAAACTCTAAAATAGTCGGAAAAACTCGAAAAAAGTAAAAAATAGTCGAAAAAGTCGAAAAAGTCGAAAAAAAGTCGAAATAAGTCGAAAATAGTCAAAAAGTCGTAAAAAATCGAAAAGTCGTAAAAAATCGAAAAGTCGGAAAAAGTCGAAAAGTTGAAAAAAGTCGAAAGAAGTCGAAAAAAGTCGAAAAGTCGAAAAAAGTCGAAAAGTCGGAAAAAGTCGAAAAGTCGAAAAAAGTCGGAAAAAGTCGAAAAGTCGAAAAAAGTCGAAAAGTCGGAAAAAGTCGAAAGGTCGAAAAGTCGAAAAGTCTAAAAGTCGACTTTTAAATAAATGAAAAAGGTCGAAAAGTCGAAAAAATCGACTTTTCATAAAATGGAAAAAGTCGAAAGGTCGAAAAGTCGACTTTTAACTAAATGCAAAAAGTCGAAAAGTCGACTTTTCGTTTCAACTATAGAACCCTAATTCTCGCTCATTCTCAATAAGAGTTGCCATCGTGTTTTTTTCATAATTGATCGCGGAAAAATCTGGAAAACTCCCCCGAGTTCGGAAAATTAAGCAACGAAATAATTTTTTGAAATAAATTTCATACGGAAAAAAATTTTTGATTTTGAAAATTTTTTTTTTTTAACCCAATTATCGACAATTTTATGCCAATCACTATTTCTAAATAATTAAATAAATTTAATTAAAGCTCGAAAAGAAAAACACAGTTTTAAAAAACTTTTAAATAATTCAATCGTCTTTTTGAAAAATTATTTTCCCTATAATTACGCAATAACTTTGGTAACATTTAAAGCTCATTAAATAAATATTAAGCGAATACACTTTTAAGCGTGCACACTTATAAAAATTTAAAAATTTAACAATTTTAAAATTTTTATTATATTATACATATCCCATCTCTATATCTTAATATTTAAATTTTGTTTACAGATCAATTCGAATATCTTTATTCTCAAATAATGCTAAATTTTAACTAGTTATCTAGTTCTGATAAATACAAGGATAAAGAGAATAAAAGAATTTCGAATAATTTTTTTTTAATTTGTGTGAAAACTCTTTTTCTTAAAATTTGTTTCGTTATTCTCAACGACTGCTAAGAAATTAACTAGATATAACTTATCTAGTGCTATAAATCAATAGCCCATTAAATATAAAGAGAATATCGAAATACAAATAACCTTGTTTGAAATACAAAAATTTATTTGCTCTAAAATTTTAATATTTTTGATTTCGGCGATTTGAATTACCCTTTTAACTAGATATCAGCTCTAGTTATAGGATTTTTGGCTCTAAATTTAAATTTTATTCCGCGATTTTATTTACCATTTTAACTAGATATCAGCTCTAGTTATAGCCCTTCTTTAATAATCGAAAAATAAATTTGGTTGAAAAATTATAAAAACTAATTTGCTCTAAATTTAGTTTTTTATTTCCGCGATTTGATCCACCTTTAACTAGATATCAGCTCTAGTTTTTCTCTAATAAACAAACCATCGAGAATAATAAAATTAAACAATTTTGCCCAAAATTAAAATTTTTTATCACTTTGTAAATTATTTTATTCGTATACTCAATTTTAACTAGATAATTGGTATCTAGTGCTATAACGCTATAGCCCCTTTACCCAGAGTATAAAGAAATACGAATAATTGATTAACTGAAATTTTAAATTATAACTTTTTCTTTATGTTCATATTACTAATTTAACTAGATAATCCGCATCTAGTGCTATTACTTAATAGCTCCCTTCTCTTTCTCCATAAAGTGAATAAAGAAAAGTTATTAAAATTTTAAATTAAATTTCAATTCGCCGCTATCGCTACCCCTTCTTTATGTTCATATTACTATTTAATTTAATAACCGCTTCTCAGTAAAGTGAATAAAGAAGAACGATAAAAAATTTTTAATAAATACCTAATTCTCGTTTGGTTTACTTTATATTTTATCCGCTTTCACCAAATACCAGCCCCTTTAATAAAAACATTTTCACAAAAAGTTGCAATTATCCACTTCTATTATATCCGCTTTTACGAAAAAGAATAAAATTTTTGAAGAAAATTTTATTCTCATTTCATAACTCAGCTTTTAATAGCTTATACCCTAATTTTACCGCTATACAAAGAAATTAAATTGCAATCGCTACGCTTTAAAGCTAAAATAAGCTTAAATCTATATTAAACTCATTTCAATATGACTTCTACATCAAATACAAAGTCTACTTCAGCTCCAAAAGAGCGCTTTGTATTCGACTGCGACCATCTTCTACAATTTTGTGACAGATTCTATTGAAGAACATCTGAATCTGTTCTTGAAGTAAAATTAAAAGATTTGGACGCAAGATGGGTTAAAGTCGAAGCTTCTTACGAAGGAGTCATGTTAGCTTCTGATAACTCTATAAAACCCGAATTTAAAAGAAGAAGCGAAACTAATTTTAATGCGTGTGTAGACGCATATTACTTATGCACATCACAAATTCTTGATTTAATAAAAGCTACTAGACTGATAGTTCTAATGTAGCAGGGTTCGAGGCAGCAGCCCGATACTCAATACCAAACCAACCACTCACTCAAAATTTTGCGCCAGATAATTCAAGTAACTGTATAAAACTTCCCCCTTGCGATACAGAAATATTTAAAGGCAGTTACGAACAATGGCCATCGTTTCGTGACATGTTCACGGCTGTATATATAAATCACTCAAAACTCTCGCCTGTCACAAAATTATACCACCTTCGAAAATAAAACACGAGGTGAAGCTGGTGACATTGTAAAGAGATATCCCTTATCTCATGAAAATTTTGAATTAGCGTGGAATGCTATAACCAAATTAAACTCATTTTTAATATACCGCCAGCAACCGCTGAAAACAGCGAATCAATTAGAAGAATACAATATTCAGTTAATGATTCGCTAGCAACTCTAAGAACTCTCGGGGTAGAAGTTGAAAGCTGGGACCCTATTTTAATTCGCCTAATTTCAACAAAATTACCAGATTTTACTCTTTCGCTTTGGGAACAGTCTTTAACTTCCCCTCGAGAACTTTCCCCAAGTAGTCTCAAATGTCACAATTCCTTGTTGACAGATATGAAGCAGTAGAACGCATCATAGCATAAAAACTTCAAAAAGATGTTTTACTTTAACAAATGCACCTGAAACCAAAATACAAACTTATACATCTCAAGAAAATCTCTATGAACCCGAATGTAAACTCTGTAATGAAATTCACTCGCTAAGAACATGTCCCAAATTTAGAACCTTTACGGTACAACAAAGAGTGGATTACGTTTTTAAAAAATAAAATTTGTAATAATTGTTTGAGTTCATCTCATTTTAAACTAAATTGCAAAAGTAAAAAAACTTGTCTCCATTGTAAAAAAAATCATCATACTTTGCTTCATATGAGACCAAAGTTACAAAATCCCGCTCAAATCCCAGAACACTCGCAAAAAATCAAGAGCCAAAAGAAAATAAAAATATAACCTCATACAACTTTGTCGAATTCTCCCCAAACTGAACAATTACACCTCACAATGTTTCCCAGCTTGCTCAAATCAAATTCAAGCTAATTGTTCAATGAATAATGAAAATATTCTGTTGCGTGCTGCATTAGTACAAATTGATCATCAAGGTCAACTTTTTACTGTTAGGGCTCTAATAGACCCTGGTTCTCAACGAACATTTTTAACAGAAAAAGTTCGAAATCGTCTTCAATTACCTTATCAAAATTCTCATTTTGAAATTATTGGTATTGGCGGCCAAAAACAAATAGCTAACAAAGAATGTGAATTCGTATTATATGCAAAAGATACAATTTAAGAATTCCAGTTAAAGCTATAGTAATGCCCAAAGTCACTAAATGGCTTCCAACATATTCTTTTGAAATAACTGACTCGCCTGAGCTTTCTGAATTGGATCTAGCAGATCCAACTTTCAATAAATCTGCTCAAATTGATCTCATTATAGGAAATGATTATGAACAATTTCTTAATTTAGAAGGTATTGAAAAGAATGTATGTGGTCAAACTTCAGCTTATCACACTGTTTTTGGTTATGTTCTTAGTGGTCCCATTAAAACCCAAACTATTCAAACTTTACCACTTCGGTCACACAATGTGAAACTTCAGATTTAAATAATACATTGAAATGTTTTGGGAACAGGAAGAAATTCCTACTTCTCATCCAAACACCGTTGAACACGAAATTTGCGAAAAGTTTTATACTCAAACTACAACTCGTCATGAGAATGGTAGATACGTCGTTCGACTACCATTCAGATCAGAATTTCCCAACAAAGTTTCCCTTGGCTCATCCCGATATATTGCATTAGCTCAATACTCCAGAATGGAGAAAACACTCGCAAAGGATCCAGAACTTCAAGCTCAATATAAAGCAGTTCTGAACGATTATATAACTCTAGATCACATGGAAGAAACTTCTTCCAGTGAAATTGTATCCCAAGATAAATATTATTCTTTTTACTTACCGCACCACGCAGTTGTTCGCCCAGAACACAAAACGACCAAATTAAGAGTCGTATTTAACGCATCAAGAAAATCAAAATCTAAAGTCTCGCTCAATGATGTGTTATACACAGGTCCCACTCTACAAAATGATTTAATTACGATTATTCTCAATTGGAGAAAATACCAATACGTATTTAGTGGCGACATACAAAAAATGTATCGCCAAATACTTGTGCACCCTGCTGATAGATCTTTTCAAAGAATTTTATTTCAAACTGAGTCAGATGAACCAGTTAAAGATTATCAGCTCAAAACCGTCACTTTTGGCATAAATTGTGCTCCCTATCTCGCGATTCGGACCACTTCTTCAACTCGCAACAGATTCCGAATCTGCACACCCAAAAGCAGCATCAATTCTGCGCTCAGACTTATGTCGATGACATTCTCTCAGGAGGTTAATTAATTGAAGAAACTCTTTCTGCTCAAACTCAACTTATTGAAACATTAAACTCAGCAGGTTTCCCATTAAAGAAAATTACTGCTAATAACCCGCAATTACTTACTCATTTGCCCAAAGAAGATCTTTATGATTTAGACTTCTTACGTTTTCACGAAGCAAGTTCTACTAAAACACTTGGCATCAAGTGGAATGCAATCACTGATACACTTTCTAATAGTTTTTCACAAATCGATGAATATCAAAGAATAACAAAACGTCAAATTTTATCTTCAGTTGCAAAACTTTTTGATCCAGCTGGATGGCTTGCACCAATCGTCATCAGAGCAAAAATGCTGATGCAGCAGCTGTGGTTAGAAGGCTTGGAATGGATGAAGATGTTTCATCTGAATCTCTTCAAAAGTGGAATAATCTAGTTCGAGATTTATCTCATATAGAAACAATTTCCATTCCACGTTGGTTACAGTGTACGTGTTTGTCTACCAAGACTGGAACTAAATGGTGCGGTTTTGCTATCAAAACTGGTAAAGTACGTAATTTCTTCCCTATATTTTAATACTAAAGAAATCTTTCTTTGGACTGATTCATCCATTGTGTTAGGTTGGCTCTCTAAACACCCATCTACGTGGGAAACATATGTTGCAAATCGTATTGCAGAAATTCATCGTTTAACGCCAAACGCCATATGGAAACATGTCCCAACGCATGATAATCCAGCAGACTTGGGAACTCGAGGTTGTAAGCCTCAAGACCTTGTTCACAATTCCCTTTGGTGGCATGGACCATCGTGGCTAACTAAACCATTGTCTGAGTGGCCTAACAGAAATCCTTTAAAAAACCCTGAATGTCCAAAGAAAATAGTATCAATGCATTCAGAAACCCAAAAAACAGATATTCTTGAAAGATTTTCGTCGTATAGCAAAGCCTTACGTATTATCTGCTATGTTTTTCGATTTATTAACAAATGTAAAAAAGTTAATTCCGCTACTCAAATCTCTTTAACTCAAGATGAAATGAAATTTTCAAAAAATAAACTTATAATACTCGCCCAAAAAACGTTCTATTTCGAAAAATACGAATGTTGCTTAAAATCTCAAACTTTACCTAATAAAAGCTCGCTAAAAACACTAAATCCATTTCTAGACTCGAACTCAATTCTACGAGTAAATGGAAGATTATCACAATCATCTCTTCCCTATAGCGAACGCTATCCCATAATTTTACCCGGTAATTCACATTTTTGTAAACTTTATCTCAAACATTTACACGAGTTCTTATCTCATGCCGAATGTGGTCAAATGTGCCGAATGGTACAAACTGAATTTTATGTATTCAGACTCAAGCCTCGTATAAAAAATATAATACGACACTGTAAAACTTGTATAATTTACAAACAGCAACCCTGTTCTCAAATAATGGCTCCTCTACCCCCTACCAGATGTAATTTGTCGCTACCTTTTCAAATAACTGACATTGACTTCGCTGGGCCTTTTGAGCTCAAAGCGTCAGCTTTACGAAAATCTACTTTTGTAAAAGGGTACGTAAGCGTATTCGTTTGCTTTAGTACGAAAGCTGTTCACTTAGAAGTTTGCTCAGATCTGTCTTCAGCGGCATTTCAAGCTGCATTTTCTCGTTTCGTTGGGAGGCGAGGACTACCCCAAAGGGTAGTATCTGATAACGGTAGAAACTTTCTAGGGGCTAGTAGAGAACTTTTACGAGAATTTTCCTCTTTTATAAAAAACGCATCTCAAGATATAGCTCAAAAGTACTTGACACACGGCTTTGAGTGGAAATTTATTCCCCCACACGCTCCTCACATGGGCGGCTTATGGAAGCCGCCGTAAAAAGTTTCAAATTTCATTTAAAACGAATTACTGGTGCTCAAAAATTCACATTTGAAGAATTCTCAACAATTCTAACTCGAATTGAAGGCGTACTAAACTCTCGCCCAATCTCAGCTCTATCTGAAGACCCTTCAGATCTTACTGCTCTAACCCCAGGACATTTCCTAAGAGGAGCCCCGATAATGGCTCTCCCAGAACAAGATTATCAAAATATATCTCTTATTAATAGGTGGGAAAATTTAAAAGCTTTGCATCATCAATTCTCAATACGCTGGAAAAATGATTATCTTAAAACTTTTCACAAATGCTATAAATGGAAAAACTCTACTACAAATCTTAAAATCGGAGATCTCGTCGTTGTAATGGACGATCTTCAGCCGCCTTACGAATGGCGTCTATGAAGAATCGAAAAAACTTATTTTGGTTCAGATAATAATGTACGCGTAGCCGACGTTCGCATAAGCTCAAGAGTTATTAATCGACCGATCGTCAAATTATGTTATCTACCATTTTTAAGCGAAAATCATGATTAGAATTTAACTTAGATTAAAATTCTAATCCAATATAAATAATATCATTAATCTCCCTTAGCAATGCCTTTTATATATTTTAATTACCCTAACACCATTCACACTAATCTCTCATTTAACACTTCTCATTTTTACACTTTCACACTTAACAATCCCTAATTTTCCCAGCACTAATCCACCTTCATTTGTTTTGTCAGTTACTTACACTTTGTTTATCCTCACCTAGATCCAACCGAAGACTTACCGCAACCCGGCCAAGAGAGGACCCCAGCCAAGAGGAATACCGTAGCGATGCTTCCAATCGGCCAAGCGAACGTAGCAGCCAAAGCCGCAGCAATCACCGCAGGTCCGTTTCCCGACGTCCAAGCGAAAGTCGCAGCCGACAAGATCACCGAAACCGCACCAGTCATCATCAAAACAGATTGGATCCTGACCTATACCAGTGTATGCTCTGTATGAGGTTCCATGCCATACGTTTTTGTCCAAAATTCCTCAGAATGACCGTCATCCGGAGGATAGAAGTGGTCACGAGACACCGCTATTGCGTGAACTGTTTGGCTAAAAGCCACGTAGTGCGGTCTTGCATCTCTATGGCAAGCTGCAGGAGATGCCACAGGTTCCATCACACGATGTTACATCCACCAAACATTCGTGTCACCATCGGCAGCCAAACCACACAACGACGACATCCTCGGCCCAAGCCGCAAAGACAAACCCAACCCTCAACCATTCAACGTCCTCAGCTGAACCAGGTCCAAACTATCACACCACACACACCAACTACAAAACCTATCATTGAACATCTACCACCCAATCAACCAACTACTTCCGCCTGCGTAAATCAACAAGTCATTATCGAGGCCATTAAATCATTGGCCAACGTACTCTGCTCCACCAACAAGGGGCCAAACTGTTGCCTAAGGGCAAGGCCGCCGGCATGTCCAATCATGGACACTATTTTATTATTATTATTATTTTCATTAGTATTAAATAAATTGTATATTGAATTGGATTTTTTGAATTGTTATTACTTTACGGTTATTTGCATTTTAAGATAAATTGAATTATAATGAATGAACTGTATTATCTTAACACTGTAAAGTAATCTTGTAATTAGTATTCGGTACAATTGAATTGTCATTTGTTCTAAATATTCGCTGAATAGCCATTTATGTTCTAAACCTAAGCTTCACGTTTCTTGTAATTAAAATAAATCGGTCACTTGTAAATCAACAATCGTTGAGTAAAGTTGAACTTTCTCTCTAGTAAACCCCCGCTCAGTGCTGCGAATAAAATATAAAATAAAAATACAAAAAACCAACTCCATTTATTTTACTTCCTAGCCCGGCAGAACAAAAGGTGAGTTTCGTCATTCCCCAAAACCTTACTCTCTTATAGAATTGAAAGAACTATTATCTTTTATTAATCCCCGCTTAATTTCTTTCTTTTCCTTTTCCCACGCAACCGCAAATAATTATAATAACTCGGACGAGAGTTATTATAATTATCAGAAAGACTTCTTTTAGATTGCTCCACTAGTCTCTCCACGCTCTACCAATCTAGAAGAAGTTGCTCTAGTTCATTTCACAGTCGTTTATATATCTTTTTATTGCATTATAGTTGCCATTTGTTTTGGTATATAACTTATTGCATAATATATTTTTAGAAAACGGCCAATTAGATAAATAGGTAGAATTATTTTCCCAGGTTTAAAAACGCGGTAATTTGAGGTGCCGATATGGTTGTGAATAACTTTGACAGTTTTCATGCTATGACAGTCATTTATGCATCATTTCAAAGCATTACAGTTGCACTTTGTTTTGGTGTATAATTTGTGGCATAATGAATTTTTACAAAAATTGGATAGATCGGTATATTTATTGGTACAGGTTTAAAAATGCGGTAATTTAAGGCCCCGATATGGTTGCAAATAACTTTTATAGCTTTCATGTTATAACAGTCGTTTATACATCTTTTTATTGCATTATAGTTGCCACTTGTTTTGGTATATAATTTATTGCATAATGTATTTTTAGAAAATGGCCAATTGGATAGATCGATAGAATTATTTTCCCAGGTTTAAAAAGGCGGTAATTTGAGGTTCCGATATGGTTGTGAATAACTTTGACAGTTTTCATGCTATGAGAGTCATTTATGCATCAGTTTAGAGCATTATGATTGCACTTTAATTTGGTATATCATTTGTGGCATAATGTGTTCGTCTAAAAAATGGTCAATTTGATGGATCGGTAGAATTATTGTTCTATGTTTAAAAACGCAATAATCTGAGGTTCCGATATGGTTGCAATTAACTTTGGCAGTTTTCGTGTTAGGACAATCGTTTATGCATCATTTTAAAGCATTACAGTTGCACTTTATTTTGGTGTATAATTTGTGGCATAACGAATTTTTACAAAAATTGGATAGATCGGTATATTTATTGGTACAGGTTCAAAAATTCGGTAATTTAAGGCTCCGATATGGTTGCAAATAACTTTTATATTTCATGTTATAACAGTCGCACAGTGGTATAGGAAAAAAAAAAGAGGGAAATAATTCGGTAACTTCTAAACGGTTAATCCGATTTTAATGAAATTTGGTATGCACAAAGAGGAGGTGTTGTCGAGTTTAGGTTTTGAATTTGGACCTTATAGGCCAACCAGGGGCCCGGCGGTTGGTCCTCAAATTAGGACACCTCGGCTATGTTAAATTTTTAAAACGATCCTATTTCTTCATTTGAGTTCCGATTTAAAAAAAATTTCGTATATAGAATCTCCTCATCGAGCAAAATGTCGTCGTAGCAGTAAATTATCTCTTATAGTTTAGGAGATATTCGCATTTGAATATTAAAATTTTAAAATTTTTACCGTCCTTACTTTAGTTTTTTTGATAATAGCAGGTCCAAATATTTCCGATTTTCGCCATTTTTTTTTATTTGCTTAACAACAAGTTTATATACCAAGCAGTGAAAGAATTATGTAAAAATCATGACTGAGTCCAAAGTTATAGGCATTTAAATTTAAAAAATTAAAAAAAGGCGATTTTTTGTCATTTTTTTGGGAAAAAAGTATCTTTTTCTTTTTAAGTTATCTAAAAAGTTTCTAAGAAGATGTATATAGAATTTATACTTTTTGGAAAGCTGACTTTACATAAAATACGATAAATGAAACAAAACCTAAAAATTTTTGATACCGAGGGGACCAGGTCCATCCAAAAAAACCCTATTTTTTATGGAAAATTAAATTTTGAGCAAAATTCTCAAATCGCATAGTCGATATCAAATTATAGTTACCTGTTTTATATGACCCAATAAGTTCTTAATCATTTTGTAACGGGTTTCGATAACCCCGCCCCTGGTATGGATATAATAGGCAAAAACCAAAAAATCCCATTTTTGGGATTTTTTAAAACTTTTTTGGGAATTCCGGGATTTCTAATAAGAAAATTCGAAATTTTTATTTAATTTTGGATTTTGAGTAAAAAAATCTACCTAACTGTAAAATTTCATCAAAAAATATTCATAAATAAAATTTTTATTGCAATTTGAAAAATTTGTATCTTCGCAAAAACTGAATAAAAAACATTTTTTAATTTTTTTTAAAAAAAGTATTCCGCGAATTTTTTAATTTTCAAAAATTATATACAGTTTTGAAAAATAGACAAAATTACCTTTCCATTGATATATAACATGCCTACCTAATGTTTTTAAGTGACAAATTAATTAGGGAAAACTCAACATCTTTTAGAAAATTTACCTAGCACTATTATTTTCATCCATATATGTAACAAATTTAAGAGTTAACCTTATGGATGAAAATAATAGTGCTAGGCAAATTTTCTAAAATCGGAACTCAAATGAAGAAATAGGATCGTTTTAAAAATTTAACATAGCCGAGGTGTCCTAATTTGATGACCCCCGCCGGGCCCCTGGTTGGCCTATAAGGTCCAAATTCAAAACCTAAACTCGACAACACCTCCTCTTTGTGCACACCAAATTTCATTAAAATCGGATTAACCGTTTAGAAGTTACCGAATTATTTCCCTCTTTTTTTTTTCCTATACCACTGTGAGTCGTTTATATATCTTTTTATTGCATTATAGTTGCCATTTGCTTTGGTATATAATTTATTCCATAATATATTTTTAGAAAATGGCCAATTGGATAGATCGGTAGAATTATTTTCACAGCTTTAAAAACGCGGTAGTTTGAGGTTCCGATATGGTTGCAAATAACATTGACAGTTTTCATGCTATGACAGTAATTTATGCATCATTTTAAAGCATTATGATTGCACTTTAATATGGTATATAATTTGTTGCATAATGTGTGTTTTTACAAATTGGTCAATTTGATAGATCGGTAGAATTATTGTTCTATGTTTAATAAACGCTGTAATCTGAGGTTCCGATATGGTTGCAATTAACTTTGGCAGTTTTCGTGCTAGGACAGTCATTTATGCACCATTTTAAAGCATTAAAATTGCCATTTGTTTTGGTATATAATTTATTGCATATTGTATTTTTAGAAAATGGTCAATTGGATAGATCGGTAGAATTATTTTCCCAGGTTTATAAAGGCGGTAATTCGAGGTTCCGATATGGTTGCGAATACCTTTGACAGTTTTCATGCTATGACAATCATTTATGCATTATTTTAATGCATTACGATTGTACTTTAACTTGGTATATCATTTGTGGCAAAATGTGTTCTTCTAAAAAATTGTAAATTTGATGGATCGGTAGAATTGTTGTTCTATGTTTAAAAACGCTGTGATTTGAGGTTCCGATATGGTTGCAAATAACTTTGACAGTTTTCATGCCAGGACAATAGTTTATGTATAATTTAAAAGCATTACAGTTGCACTTTGTTTTGGTGTATAATTTGTGGCAATATGAATTTTTACAAAAATTGGGTAGATCGGTATATTTATTGGTACGGGTTTAGAAATGCGGTAATTTAAGGCTCCGATATGGTTGCAAATATCTTTTATAGTTTTCATGTTATAGCAGTCGTTTAAATATCTTTTTATTGCATTATAGTTGCCATTTGTTTTGGTATATAATTTATTGCATAATATATTTTTAGAAAATGGCCAATTGGATAGATCGGTAGAATTATTTTCACAGCTTTAAAAACGCGGTAATTTGAGGTTCCGATATGGCTGCAAATAACATTAATTCATGGCGGTAAACCAACCGAACCCAACCCTAGCTGCAGCAGCACAACAACCAGGTATACGGACTCTAGATATTAATCCGCTAAAATATCTGGAAAAAATTCAAACCTTTGATGGAAGGAAGGAAGATTTGTGCACTTTTTGCACCAACGTTGATGATATAATTCCTACCCTAATGTTGTATAATGAACAAGCACAAAGGATGTGCATCAACATAATAAAAAGCAAACTGATGGGTAAGGCTCGAAGAGCAATGGAAATACATCCACACTTAAATAACTGGAGTGAAATAAAGGCAATGTTGGAAACCTATTTTGGAGGTTTCCAAACAGCTGATCAATTGTATGAGGAACTGCGAGCGGCGCAATACAGAGGAAGTACAATAAACTTCCACAACTACATACTATAAAAGTTGGCAATCTTGAACTAAAAAACCAGACAAGAAGGAAATATGCAGGATGTTGAAAGGAACATACAAACTGCACTAAAGGTGTTCACAACAAGATTACCCGTACATATGAGAACAGTTCTTTGTTCTCTAAAACCTCGAACCATGGAGGAAGCTATGCATGAGTTGGCCCAATCAGGGTTCTTCAATGAAGAAAAGGGCACCGATAGGAAGGAAGGAAGAAATAATTGGCAGCCTAAGACCAATTATAACAAACAACGGGACAACAAACAACACAACAACGGGCAACAAAATAATATGTACAAAATAATGGCTACAAAATAATGATCAACATAACAAGTGGCAACCTAAGCTATACTTACCAACAACACAGCAACAACCGGAACCGATGGACGTTTCAGCAACTCAGACGAGAAGGCAAAACCATCATGGTCAGCAGTCCAAGGAAGCGGAATGTAATTGTAAGTGTTTGAATTTTGATTATAAAAATTATGTTAGACAAGACAGACAGAGTTACGGGTCTCATGAACCAGGAAATTTTCCTGTAATGGCCTCTCACCTAAAAGACCCGGGAGACTCGGACTCCCATATATCCTGTTTA